GGGACCTCAGGGCACAAGGAATGACACAGTGGTGAGTTCCTTAGGTTTTCTGTTTTGGCTCACATATCCCACACATGGAGCTGAAGAAGCTGGCCAACCAGAAATGCCGAGTGGCACATATAGCACATTTTACCCAACAAAAGCCTTGAGTATTAATATATATTCTTCTCAAGTGCACATGGAAAATTTTTCCAAATAGATCATATATGAGGCTATAAAACAACTCCAAATAAATTTAAAATGTTGAAATCATATAATCCTATGATTTTATTAATCATACAAACCTTCTGTTAATCCAACTACAATATAAAGAATTTAGTAATCAATAACAGAAGGAAATTTGTAAAATTTGCAAATACATGACAATTAAACAACTGACTCCTAAATAAACCACTGGGTGAAAAAAAAAATCACAAGAGTAAACAGAAAACACTTTGAGATGGATGAAAATGAAGACACAACAAACCAAAAGTTAGGGCACGCCGCTAAAGCACTGCTTAGAGGGAAATGTGTGACTGTCAACACCCATATTGAAAACGTAGAAAGATAGCAAATCAATAAGTTAATCTTCCAACTGAAAAAACTCAACAATGAAGCGCAATCTAAACTCATATCAGGCATAAAAGAGGAAATAATAAAGACTGGAACAAAAACAGTGAAATAAAGATAAGAAAAAAAAATAGAGAACAATTAACAAAACCAAAAGTTGGTTCTTTGAAAAGATCAATAAAATTGACAAATCATTAGCTAGACAGACCAAGAAATGAAGGAGAGAAGAATGTTACTAAAATCAGGAACAAAAGGGGGAACATTACTACTGACTTGACAGCAATAAAAAGGATTTATAAGGGAATGCTATAAACAATTGTATATAACAAATTAACCCTGATGAAATGAGTTCTTAAAAACACACAAACTACTGAAACTGAAGAAGAAAGAGAAAATGCAAATCAGCTATAACAAGTAATCAAAACTTCTCAGGAGAGAAGCCCAGCAGCAGACGGCTTCCCTGCTCAAGAATAAACACCAGTGCTTGACACCCTCTTTCAAAAAACAGAAGGAACATTTCTAAAATTATTCTATATGACAAACATTACCCTGATACCAAAACCAGGTAACGAAATCACAGGGAAACTGAAGGTCAGTATGAATATGGACACAAAAGTCCTCAACAAAATACTAACGAACCAAACTCAACAGCATGTTGAAAGGACCAGACACCATGGCAAGGGGGCTTTGTCCCATGACTGCAAGCCTGATACAACACAGAAAAATCAATCAGCATAACACACAATATTAACAGGCTAAAGAGAAGCCACACGATCACATTAACTGACACAAAAACCGAGCAACCACAGCATTAATAAAACATTAGAAACACTCAACATCCGTTCACAATGAAAATTATCAGAAAACTAGAAATGCTGAAAGAAAATACAAGATTAGCCTGAAATACTTTGTGATGTCAGTACGTAAGTGCTCATAAAAGGATGAGAAGAAGTGTCTATTTTTTATGTTGCTGGTAGGACGTAAAATGATACATCTACTGGAAAAGTTTGTCAGACCCTTTTAAAGGTAAACATACTATTATCATATGAGCAGCAGTTGTGAGTCCAGAGAAATGAACGCATGTTGACATGAAAATCTGTACCCGATTATCCGCAGCGGCTTTCTTCACAGCAGCTCCAGCTAGCTGCCGTCCAACTACCAACTAGTGAAACAAACTGTGGTACCAAACACAATGGTACACTCCTCAGCATTAAGAAGAAACAAACTATATACACAACAACTTGAACAAGCCTCCAGAGGATTACGCTGCGTGGGAAAAAAAATCCCCAAACGGTGTATACATAATCACATTTATATAACACTCTTGAAATGACGAAATTTTAGGGATGGTGAGCAGATTAGTAGTTGCAAGGGGTTCAGGTCAGAGGGTGGGGATGGAGCAGGTCAGGAGAGAAGTGGGTGTGGCTAAAGGGCAACGCGAGGGATCCCAGTGGTGATGGAAACGCTCTGTATCGTGACTCTCGACATTGATATTCTGGTTGTGATTTTGTACTCTGTTTCGCAAGATGTTACCATTGGGGAAAGCTAGGTAACTGCCATGTGGTGACTCTATTATTTCTTACAGTTGAATCATTATCTTAAAAAATGAGTTTAATTTAAAGAAAGTAACTATATTCACTATCTTGTAGTAACCTATAATGAAAGAGAATATGAAAAGGAATATATGGATGTGTATGTATGACTGAAACATTACACTGTACACCAGAAATTGACACACTGTTCACTGACTATACTTCAATTAAGAAAAAAGTAGGGGCAAGCTAGATGGGCAGACAATGGTGTGCTAGAGTTTTCCCACTTACCATGTAGCCTCCATAAAGCTGTGAGCACCTGTCCTAAATTGTGAGACCCTTGAGAACAAGACATATGTAGAAATCATACTTTTTCCACAGTGCCTGATATACGGATGTCATTCCATAAATGTACCTTGAGTGGACAGGTGGTGGGAAGCCACTGAAGACCTTCTGAGCAGAGACATGAGAATGAGACCATGCCTCGACAAAAGGAGGTGCCTACTAAATGCTCGTGTTGCTGAACAGAGACTGAGTGATGCTCATCAGAGCTGTCTTTCACATCAGACCTGGGTTCCCGTCCCAGATCTATCACTTCTTCTCTGAACTTTGTGACATTAATTATCACAATGCTAACTCACATAGTTGTCTTATGGGTTAACTGAAAAAGCAGTATGCACATTAGGACAATTAAGCGCAGCACATCATTAGCGCTCTCTGCGTGTTACACGCTATTGGTATCGTCTTCACTGTTTTGTGGTTGCTGTCATTCTAATGCTGGTAGTTATTCAGGGAGGCAGATAGAAACCGTATAACCACGCTCCTGTCAGTACAGATGGAAACAAGAATAGAGGAGAACAGCCATGCTGCCCCCTTTTACTCCCATCCAGGTAAATACAGTTTTAATTTACTGTAACTCACATTTCGTCAACTTTTTATTGACGTTCTCAGCATTCGTGGGCCATTATGTAACTTTCTATCTCTCCTCTTTGTCATACACATTATTAAGAAACTTTCATTTTATGATACAACCAACTTTTAAAATGCTGTCTTTTCTAGTTAATACATGATGTTACACTGCTAACCATTTGTGGGAATATGAGAATTCACCACTAGGAACAAGTGGCAATTCCCTAGATGATTATGCAGAAGGAGTGAATTTTCACAGTGAAGTTCATAAACAAATTATATGTTCTCAAAACTGTTATGACTAAAATTCCAGTCATGTAGAATGTTTCTTTATACCTTAGTAGGCATCGCTGGTGAAACAGAAACTTACTGCTTTTGATATATACAGACCATCTCCTCCTTTCAAATGTGTTGTACTTCCAAAATTCATTTTGTAATCATGGTGTTTTGAATACAAAATATACTTCCATAGAAGCTACATTATTAGTGATGATTGCATTTGCAAAATGACTTACTGAAGCTGGCTTAAACACATTTGAGATAAAATGCCTTCGTAACTGTTTTGATCAAGTAATTCTACTACACAGCTAGGGCACGGCCCAAACCTGCTGGTTTACCAGAGCAGTCAAATGGTAGACATGGTCAATAAACCTCACCCCCAATTCTATATGATGCTCCCTTCTTTCTTTCAATGCATCGTTGTTCTAACTACAAAGATAACACAGGCTCACTTTTTTAGACTTTTATAGCAGTGGGGTTATACTATAAATATATAGTATACATATATATATATATATATACACATATGTATACTTATCTATATAAATAGTGTCTATTTCTTTTATATATAGTATGTGTGTACTATACATAGTAGATACAGATTTTTTATATATACAGTCTATACATATCATATATGGTATATATCATCTTTTAAATATAATGAATATTTAGACTTTGTAAGTATATTTAGATAAACACATAGTCCAAGGTGCCCGCAAAAGTTGTGCCCTATCCTGAATCCCATGCGGAAAAGCTAACAGCTAAAAAATAAAAATAAAAATGAAAAACAGGGTGCAGTTCCTTATCTGCCCTTAAATTGGACAGATCCCTCAACTCTGACGACAGCCTCCTCACCTGTAAAAACGAGGGCATTGCACAGGGTCATAAAAAGTTTTCTTATAGATACTAGAATAAAATGACTTAAAATGCCTTGAACTGAAAGAAGAAAAGGGTCTAAGGCTGGACGCTTTGGTTTCTAGCGATTCCACTTTCAGAGAAGTCAGCGCTCTCTCCCCTCCTGAAGGGTGACGGAGAAGAAGGGCGTGCAGATGGGAGAAAGCAGGATGGGAAAGAGGAAGGAGTTGCAGTGTCACGTGAAACAGTAACAAATTTGGAGAAGCTTCAATAATGAAAACAGAGGAAGGACAGGAACAGAGACAAAAACCAAATGTTAGATGCTTTCAAAGAGTGTCATTCCAGGTCCTCCAAGAATTAGGCAATGAGAGTAGGAGATTTCTTAGGGGAAAGGCCTGTGAAGGGAGCTGGGAAAGACTGAGAGAGCCATCAGACTGCAGTGCAGGGCAGACATGGGGTAGAGGAGAAAGAGGAGGAGGAGAAGCACGCTGATGAGAGCATCCAGTTGGGCAAGGCTGTCAGAGAGCCCTGAGCCGGAGCCTCCGATCAGAGGAGTCCCATGCCTCCCAGTTGTGGGCCTCATTTAGCATCCTGCCGCTCTCAGCCACCAACTGAGAAGTTGATGATCTGAAAGGCCCACTCTGCTGGCTGTCACACTGGATACCAGTATTTAAAGCAAACTCCAGATTAGAACCCCTGTTCTCTAAACTCGTGATAAAATTGTATGCCTCACCCACCAGAGAATTTCAGTAACAAACAACAGAGATAAAAGCATAAAAGGTGAAGACTGCCAGTAAGGAGAATTACCAAAACAGCCATCTGTCTGTTTCTTACAAACTTACTCCAGGAGCTTCTGTGCATCATAGTATCCAATTGGATGAACAGGAATACTTGGAAGACCAACAGCTTCTCCAATGTCGCGTCTATAAGCATATTCTGAAAAAAAGTTGAACATAACTTCTGATAAAAGTGGAGTCCCTTTCAAAACGTTCTCTGTGAACCACATTCAACACATTCTTAAAGTACATCTAACTAGAGCTGTTAAAATGAAAAAGACGAACAACTTTAAATGTTAGTGAGAATCTGGAGCAACTGAAACATTCATCCATTTCCTGGAAGAGTGTATAATTATGCGGTCCCTTTGGGTTACTTCTTTGACAAGTCGTGTTAAACAAAATGATGCGCTATGGCACAACAATTACAGGCCTAGGTATTTACCCAAGAGAGATGAAAACATATGTTCACAGAAAGACGTGCACAAAACTGCTCATAGCAGCTGAGTCTGAGCAGCCAAGGCTGGACACGGTCCAGCTATCTGGAAACAGCAGAATGAATAAGCAATTTGTAGAACAGTCCCACAATAGGACTCTATCAGCAATCAGAAGGAAAAAACTATTAATACACACAAAAACATGGCTGATCTCTAATCATTATACTGAGTGAAAGCAGCAAGGCGAATGATGAGGAAAAATCATACATTTTTCTATCACAGCAGCACCAAGCTGAGAAAGAAAGAAAACAGCACGCCCCCTTTGGGGTGGCCTTTCTTGGTGTGCAGTGTGCGTCTGCTGTGTACGTGAACCAGATCACCTCAAAGCCGGAGGCTATAACCCACCTGTGAGGAAAATGGTCCTTTTCTGCAGATGCCAGCATTGTAATGTTAAGATTGTCTTTTTTCCCTCCCAGACCGGAGGTCACACTGACCAAAGGCTCTCTCTGTACATGCATAACTGATCAAAACATCTCTGTGGAACTTTATGTACAATGCTAGCCTGTCAATACAGTACATACATTCTTTTGTCTCAAAACTGTGTAAAACTGTATCTCTAACTCCTGACCAGTGGAATGCTTCTCACAGGTTCTAAGAATCTGTTTTCCTGCTTACAATTCTCAGTTTGGCTCAACTAAAATTGTGTTCTTTCCTCTTAGCTTGACAGTTAATTTGATTTTCTGTCAACATTCAAAACAATAGATACTGTCTGCTTCCATTTATATGAAGATCAAAAGCAAACGAATCAGTGAGGTTGCCTCTGGGGGCAGGTGTGGTGAAAACTGACCAGAAAGGAGCACCAGGGGACTTTCTGGAGTCACAGAAATGTCCTGTATCATTATTTTGAGTGACACAGATGTATGCAATTAAAAAAAGTTTTTGAGTTAATGCTTAAGATCCGTGCATTTTATTACATGTAAACTCTACCTCAAAATAAAAACACATTCTGACATTTCTTGAGATTTAAGAAAAATAAGAGCTATTTTTCCATTTTTTTCCAAAATTTTAAATTATAATAACTTGAGGTGATTGCAAATGCTTATTTTTTTTATGGGTAAAATGACATAATGATATGCTGCATGAGATTTGTTTTAAAATTCTCTAGAGTAATAATCAAAAAAGGGATGATGAAAGAGAAAATGAAATTCGCAAAATGGTGATAATTATCTCCATTTTTGTATATGTTAGAACTATTCCATAATAAATAGTAAAAATAAAAAGAAAAGGGCACAAAAGAGAATTCCACAAACGTTAAGTCCCATAGGGATAACATGATTTTTCTTTCTATACTGTCATCTTTTAAATTTGAGAATAATAAGCAGAAATATTCCAGTTAATCTTATTTTATGTTCATAATTTGAGCTTTTATAACCAACAGAGCTTGGGAGAGGTCTCGTTTTTTTCCAAAACTTAGGAATAAAAGCCTAAGTAAGTAAAGTTCAGGTAGATTGATGTGATTTTATTATAAGACAATATGTATTGCTTAAAAAAAAATCTATGTCAGTGTAGTATGTTCCAAGATTTATCAAGCCAAAGCACAGAAGCTTTAAAGGCATCTACACTTTGATAGAAAAAAAAACAGATGAAAATTAACTATGGAAATGCCACAATCTGGCAACCTATTTTATCCAAGTTATACACCTTAGTTAGTTTTAAACCACACAAACCAAATGATTACAGATTTCTATAAATGTCATCAAATAGCTGGGTACATTCAAAATAAATTAGCTCCCCTTGTTAATGATCTACTGTTTTACAGCAGAGCATTCCAGCCTAAGACAAACACATGGACTCTGGAGCCCGACCATCTGAATCTGAATCCCCACTCCTCGTTTAGTGATGTCATGACCTGGGGCAGACTGCTTACTTCCAGCCTCACTTCCCTCCTCTGTCAAATAAAGAAAATAACATGACGAAGCTTAAAGGACTGTTAATGGATGTGAAGAGCCAGCATTCAGGAAACACCCCTTGAATTACTATTGTCTTTATGCAGTAATGATACCCCAAGCCTGTTCCGGACTCCGTATTCTAAATGTGCCGTATTCTAAAGGTTTATAGAACTTCTGTCCTACTCTCCCTTATCCACAACTAGAATTTCAAAAAAATCTGTGAAATCCATTAATTTGGGGGACTGTACTTGGCAACAAAACATGACCTGATGTGAACTCATTTGGCAGCAAGGTTTGACTTGAGCAGACACGAGTCTATTTATATTACTTAACGTACTGCTGCTTAATAGGATAGTTCATATATTTTGCTGCCCAAATATTTACATGTTGCTTCCTGTATTCTGTCCCAGCCTCCCATGTGAATGTTATGCAATAACATGGTGTACACACCAGGTTACTTTTAAATACCTGGAAATGTCTGCATTTCAAAACCTATCAGACTCAAGGATTCCAAATATGGGATAAGGGACCAGAACCAATAATTACCAGAGTTCAGAACTCTTTAATTTTCTTCTTAGATGTAAAGTAAGAAAAAGACATACATTATCAAAGGAAATCCTTTGACAGAATCACGTAAAAATGTTTGTTTCTGATGGTTACGGTCTGATCACTCACCATTTGCTGGGTAACCGGGAGTGAGAGGGTCCCCTGCGCCATTAAGATTTAAGGTATTTCCACGCTGAACACCACGTCCAGGAAGATTCCAACCATCTGGATAGGGCTCCACTCCAGGAGCAAAGTAATCAGCAGGGTCTGAGTACAAGATGATTCCTTTGGCCCCTGCCAGCTGGGCATTTTTAACCTGGGAAACACAATGTCTTTCTTGTTTTAGGTTGGTTATTCAAAATTACACTTAAATAAGCAGCCACACATTATCGTCACTCTTTTACCACTAGACCTCTAACAAAGGACGTCTCACAGAGAATTGGCTTTTTCCTATTCCTTCTGCAGGCTCTACAAATGAGTTTCTATGGCTGGATCAGCCCTCAGAGCAGCGTACTTGGAAAATGTACATATTGGTGGAAGCAAGTACTGGCTGTTTTCTTCCTCTAGTTCCAGAAGCACAATAAACAAATAGAATCCACAGAATAGATTCTTACTTTTTCTATGATTGAATATTTTTGAAATTTAATTTTCCCCCAGGAAAGAAAAAAATTAAGAAATCAAGCGATAGTAACTTTCAAAACTGCTATGTATAAATTTGATTTCTCTCATTACCTACAGTGAGAACTCATACTAAGATTTAATTTAGTAAATATTTTCATAGACAACATTTAAAACAAAGATACTGACAAATCTAGTGCATACTTCTTTGTAAATTAGAGGCATGATCTGTAGGTATGGAAAAAAATCTGTTCTCCTTGAACACGTATACTGGCCACATTCCAAAAACCCAACTGAATATCACCATCTAAGACAGTAAATATATGTGTCGTCGTATTAGGCGAGCACGGGCACAGCCTATGAGAAGGTCACAGTCTTCAGAAAGTTGTAAGGATGCGGTTCACCTCACGTAAGACACACCATAACCTTTTTTCTTTGCAGAAAAGGAAATAAGAGATGATTTTTTACCTTATTTCCTCTGAAAATTTTCCCGTATCGGGCAATTGCAATCTTCCCAGAGCAATTGATTTTCATGTCCCGCTCTAGTTTAAAGAAGTCTTCGGTTCGTGCATAGTTAACGTACACGAGGTCACCCTGTTGAGATCACGGGTGACTTAGTACAAGAAAGATTTACTACAAAGAGGTTTCTCTGCATGAGGACAGCGTCACATCTTGGAACGGGGGAAGAAGCAACAGGGCCAGAAAAGTATGAGCTTCGGATAAGAGATTCAAGGGAGAAATGGACTTGATAAGACAATTAGCTGGGTTAGAGACCTGTGAATTAAATAGTCAGTTTTGCCAATATCTATGCTTCCTCTGCAGTGGTTATAAAACAATAGAAGCGCTCCCCAGAAAAAGGCACATCAACACACACACTGCTGCATGCAATTTGGAAGGGTCCAGGCACCCTGCATTAAGAAGCCACTGAAGACAGCATTCTTCTCTTTGAAATACATTCTCAAATAGTAGCTTAATGGGTCTTCACACCACAGGATAAAGAAGAAATGTCAGATAATATCACTGCTTTACGGATCTAGTTTCAAATCATTAGGATGATTATGTGAGAGTCTTACACCATCTCTGAGTCTCAATATACCGTCTGTAAAATGGCCAGTTAGATCAGTGTTCTTCATACATCCTTTGCTCACCTACTTCCTAAATTAATTTTGAAAAGCAATGTACCCCAATATATTTTCAAGTTGACACCTGAAATTTTTTTATCATGCCTTTAAGTAGCTGCAAAGAATGCAATTTCTAGCCTATTATAAATATTAACATTTTTTGAAGCAACTGACTTTTTATAGGTATCCAGAGGAATTTAAATGCTGTACTGATTTATTATTCAACATCATCCATTTAAAAAACACACTCTCTGGTCAGTCGGAATCTTATCATCACTGTTTCTCCTTGAACTTGTGTTTATTTGTCCCCCTTCCCTAAAGCATTCTACTCTCAAGTAAAATATATTCAGGCGGGACACGAGGGTGCCCTGCCCAGATGCCCCTTCAATGCAAGTGTTCTTGCTCCTGCTGCAGGGAAGGCTCTCCGTCCCGTGAGATCAGCTGTGGTCACCTTGCTCAAGGTCATGCCCCTTCTTAGGATGCACACATTCAATGACTGATTGAGGAGGGAATATAAAGTCCTGCACATCTTTGTCCAAACCAGGGCAATCCTGAAGGGCTGTTCTGACTCCAGAGCTGCCCATCGGGTCAGCTGAGGCTGTCCTTGAGCTGGCATTGAGATGCAGTTTCTCCCTCTGCCTGTTCCAGCTTCCTGCTCTTCCCCGCCACAGATATCGATCCCAGGAGAATGCTCCTTAATTAACATCTAGCATGCTCAATTCCGTTTCAGTTTCTAGTACCTACAATCTGGGTATGCTTGAAAGTCTTTTATTAATCACTGCCAAACCTCCCTTGATTAAGAATGTATGTGTAAATTTATAGTTAGGTAGATAGATAGATAGATAGACAGACAGATAGATAGATAGATAGGAGTTTTAAAAATATTTATTTCCTATGATTCAGGCTGTGCATGTTAAGAAAATTCTTCAAGAACAACTTACTGTTATTATTAATAGCATCAAAGCGAGTCTAACAACATCATTACAAACCTTTATAAATAATACCTAAGCAGAACACTTTACTTGAAATACAACTTTTAGTGCTATGAGGTATGAAAAATATTAGCTTATGGATCTATGGATGAATAAATTATTTCCAGAATAAGTTCAGACCTAGGATCAATTTTATTCACATTTCTTATTTTTAGACATAAGTTCTGAGAAACCTTGGGATGGGAATGAAAGAAATTTTGTTATGGAATTTTCACTAAATTATTTAAACTCTTTCTAAGTTATGCACCTTAAACCTCACACTGATCTGTTATCCAAGTTCATTCTAATGATATCAGCTGGAAATTCAACTAGGCTCATCCTTAATTTTGTTCAACTGCAAACCATTTGACTTGCCAAATCTTTGTTACCCAGCTATTAGAATCTTTCACCATCATCTCTTTGTTTGGAGTTCCAGAGATTGTTTTTTTACAACTCAGAGATATGCTTCCTATTGTCTTAGGATGGATGAGTGATGTCTCTTACTCATAAAATAAGAGAAAAGTAACTGTAAATAGGGAGGTGGGGACTGAGTGCCAGCAGGACCTCACCACAGGCTAGTTCTCAATTCCATGACGGAGTACACTGAGAAATTGATGATGCAACTGATTTCTTTAAAATGATCCTACGTCTGCCTTTGAAAAGTCTTCACACACTCTAGTTTGAATTTTATTTTGTTTATTGTTTTTCTTTTCGACCACGTGTCTCCTGACATGCGCACAATAAACTTTATAACATATTGAAATAAGGTTGTTTCCAAGCTGATTCTAGGATGCATTTGACAAGCCTGTTGAAGACACATCATGTTGAGAATTAGGGATACAGCAAATCTCTGTCCTGAAGAAACTTACATTAGTCTGGAGAGCAGAGAGATACTATAAACAATAAAATTAATAACTAAGTAAATTGATTGTATATTAAAAGGTGATAAGTTCTGCAGAAAAATTTTTAAAAAGTTGAAACACAGTAGGCAAACAGGGAACTAGTACTCAATTGGGTGCAATTTTCAAAAAAGGAGAAAGTCTATTGAGAAGGTGACATTTGAATCTTTGCTTACTTTTAGCTCTTATTTTTCTTCCTAAGACCAATGCAACATTAATGCACTGTGGATGACAGCACTGTGCGTCTGATTTGTAATTGTTGGTCTTCTCTGGGGCTCACTTTTAATGCCAACTGTGAACACACAGTCATGAACCAATTTGGTTTCAGTGAATTTTATTTTTGTGTAAACGTTTCACTTGAAATGCATTTCTGTTTACTATCACCCACTTTAGGGAGACGAGCTACTTTAAATATCTGTAAATTGTGGCTATCTTTTGACAAATCTATACTCCTCACATAACAAATTATGAGAAGGAACTGGAGAAAACATTAGTTTGAAAATGACAGTAAACTTAGAAAATGAAAACAAGTGTGACAGAAGGGCCCTCTTGGCACTTCACAAATGCAAGTTGTCACTGCTAGTTAGGGAAAAAAAACCCTTTGTTATCAGACAATGACCTTCTTGTAACATTTACACTGCACCATTGTTCTCCAACTGGGAACAAATACAATCTTGCACTGTGAGCCTAGAATTTTCCATTACTTCCAAGCTTCCATCTTCTTGCTCATGTTAGGAGAGCCAGGATTGGTTCTCACAGCATGTTTCTTCAATCCACAGAATCAAGGCCACCTAGGACCTTGTTGGAAACAAATTCTCAGGCTTCATTCAAGACCTCTTAACACTCGGGGGGAAGGAACCAGAATCTGTTTTATAGGCCCTCTGATCATTGCAACACATGCTGAAGTGTGAGAACCACTAGTTTCGGTGTATTTCATGGGCACTGTCAAATCGCTAATTTCAAATAATCTAAAGCAAAGTCCAGTATGTCACACTCCAGAAGATTACGTTATAGTGAAACAACTCAAGCACACATACAGACATAAATAATTTAAAAAAATTAATACTCCACCGCTTGAGTTACTGGTAATCCAGTGAAACACACCAGCCAGCAAATTAATTTAATATTGAATACAAACAACAATTCCATGGAGAATCACATGCACCTTCTAGCCACCCGTTAATCTGGAAAAGTTTAAATCTGCTTAAAAGAAATGAGTTAATAATCTCTATGACTCTTTTATGAGTAGAATAATTCTATCAAAACTGGACAGCTCCATGCAAAAGAATCAAACTATACTTTCTCACATCATATAGAAACATAAATTCAAAATGGATTAAAGACTTAAACATAAGACTTGAAACCATATGACTTCTAGGAGAAAATGTAGGCAGTACATTCTTTGACGTCAGTTTTAGCAACATTATTTCGGATATGTCTCCTCAGGCAAGGGAAACAAAAGCAAAGATAAACAAGTGGGACTACAGTAAACTAAAAGGCTTATGCACAGCAAAGGAAACTATCAACAGAACTATAAGGCTGCTGACTGAATGGGAGAAGATATTTGCAAATGATAAATCTGATAAGGGGTAAATATCCCAAATATACAACGAACACATACAACTCAACATCAAAAAAGCAAACAACCTATTAGAAACTGGGTAGAGGACCTGAACAGACATTCTTCCACTGTTGGTGGGTAACTTGGTGCAGCCTCTATGGAAAACAGTATGGAGGTTCCTCAAAATATTAAAAATAGAACTACCATGCGATCCAGCAATTCCACTCCTGGTGTATTTACCCAAAGTAAACAAAACACCAATTCAAAAAGATATATGCACCCTATGTTCATTGAAGAATTATTTATAATAGCTAAGATATGGCAGCAACCTAAGTTCCCATCAATAGATGAATGGATAAAGATGTGGAAGATTGGAATATTACTCAGCCATGAAAAAGAATGAAATCTTGCCACCTGCAGCAACATGGACGGACCTACTGGGCATTAGGCTAAGCGAAATAAGCCAGACAGAGAAAGACAAATACCTGATGATTTGACTTATATGTGGCATCTAAAAAACAAAACAAATGTGTAAACACACCAAAATAGAAATAAAGTCATAGATACATAGAACAAATAAACTGTTGCCAGAGGGGAGGGACGTGGGTGGGGGAGAGAAATAGGTGAGGGAGACTAAGGGGCACAAACTTCCAGTAACAAAATAAATGAGTCACAGGTATAAAATGTACAGTCTGGGGAATATAGTCAATAACTATGCAGTATCTTTGTATGGTGGCAAATCATAACTACATTTACCATGGTGATCAGTTTGAAATATACAGAAATACTGAATCACCATGTTGTGTAACAGGAACTAATACAGTATTGCAGGTCAATTATACCTCAAAAACAGACTCATAGAAAGAGATCAGGTTTGTGTTACCAGAGGTAGGGGTAGAGGGGAGAGGTAATTAATTAGGTAAAGGTAGTCAAAAGGCACAAACTTACAATTATCAGATAAATAAGTACTAGGGATTTAACACATAATTTATGCACAACATAAATATAATGAACTCTGCTGTATATTATATAGGAAAGTTGCTGAGAGAGTAAATCCTTAAAGTTTTCATCACAAGGAAAAAAAAATTTTTTCTGCTTCTTTCTGTATCTATACAAGATGATGGATGTTCACTACACTTACTGTGGTAATCATGCCATGATGTCTATGAGTCAAATCATTTTGTTTTATCCCTTAAATTTATACAGTGCTGTATGTCAATTATATTTCAATAAAACTGGAAAGAAAAATAAAACAAAAATTAAAAAGAAGAACAAAGTACAAAAATTAATTAGGGGATTTTAACTGATGATATGGTAAACCCACCAACTAATGCGGGTGTAATTTTCTCCTTATAACATTCTGTGTTCCCATCCAGAAACATGATCTTTTTCTTTATACATAGTATTTTCGCTGCTTTGTAAATTTCAGTGTTCTTCAACTAGTTCATACCCATTTAATTTAATAATTTTTACAATGTATTTTATATTTTATGGCTATTTTAAATTATATCTCTGTTGCATTTTCTGCTACTATATATCACTTGTCTGTATGTATTTAATCTGGTAATTCTAATGCTATTTTTAAAATAAAGAGGTATTAGTATTTTCTGTATATTCTGGCTACACAGAAACACCACTGTAAATAAGAAGGGAAGAAGACCCTTCTTACTGAAGGATACTAGACACGTGATTATATGCTATACAATCCCATTTATATGAATTTCTAGTATAGGCAAAACCAATTGATGGTGGCAAAAAGATCAGGAGAATGATCGCCTTGGGGGGGTGCGTGGAGTTTCTGAAGTGATGGTAATATTCTTTGTGTTGATGGGGTTTGGATTACACAGGTATGTGCATTTGTCAAAGTCAATAAATGTACATTTTGGATTTCTGCATCTCAGTGTAATACATTTTATCTTGAAAAAACACTATGAAAAAACACTATGAACAAAATAATCTATATTCTTTTCTATTACTAAGAAATTCTATTTCTTAAACGTGAAAAAGATTAATTTGAATTATATCTAAAACCTCCTTCATACCCCCTTCATTATGACCCGCCCATAGGAGGGGGATCTGTGTGTTATTTTATTGTATTGTATTGCATGTTTACCTCTGTCATTCCTTGTGGGGAGTAGGCATTAAAAGGTGGCACAACATCTGAAACATTTTCATATCCCGGAGGAGGTGGCTCAAACAATGATGTCTTGAAAATCTAGAGAAATGAGATATAATCATTAGAAGCAAAGCGGGTCAAGTTTGATTACTCCCATCAAACAAGAAAACAAGTGTATTATCTCTTTTGTCAGCAGAGGGTTAATCCGTCCTTTGGTATCTTGAGAATACATATCAAAGAGCCAGCACTGTGCTAGAAGCTGTGAGGATTTCATGAGATGAATAAACTACAGACCCTTAGAGGACCTATAAGCACCAGTTTTTGATTTAGAAGGAAAACCTGAATCCTTAAATAGAAAGCAACATGATGCAGTGTTCTTAGTCACCTACAGCCATGCTGAGACAATTACTTATGAGCAAATTAAGTATTAAATTCACTTCGACAAAATATTTCATTTTGGGGAAACTATACTGGACAGTATCTAAATATTCACACTGAAAAGAACTAAAAACATTGAATCAAATATAACATAATCTTTTTAAGTGTGTCACTGAATTGGAAAAAGAATGTAAGGCAATACTCAGAAAAAAAAAATGATATGAAAGCAAGAATCCTGAAAGGTAGCACTGAAGTCTGCTTTTGCCTTAGTTGTAACTATCAAAGCCTGGGGTCCCATGAGAGGAGCATAAGGATTAAAAGACAAAGTCTAGAGCCGGCCCAGATAAGGGAGTTTGCAATTTACAACACAGCTCGGCTGTGAATGGTTAGTCACAGTAATTACGCTACACTGGGAGGCGGGTGAGGGTAAGAGAGTGTTTGTAGCTGGGGCACAGGGAAGAGAACAGAGCTGCACGGTCACGATGTCAGAAAATAATGCCTAGATCTGAAACATAAGCAATACGAGCACATTATTTAAAAAAAAAAGAGATGAATATCAAAAGAATCAACTCAGGGTTGAATGGTGATTGCCTCAGGGAAGCGGGAAATAGGGAAGCAGCAAGGCCCTTTGGAGAACTAGGTGACTCTTTGTGTGCAGGTAGAACTTGGGTAAAAATTAAAATGAATTAATGATGTAACAGTCAAAACAATGACTAAGCTTTTGGCAGCTAACACGATTCAGGAAAATCTCCAAAATGAAACCGCTACATGATACGTTTATATTAAGTGACAGGCTTTAGAAATTTCATAAATGCTTGTAATAGTAAAAAACAGATAATGAAATGGAATAAAAGCAACGGTACAGTCAAAACCGGGAGGTGAAGAGGAAGAAAACAAGAAGAGAAATGCAAGTTACTCTTTTCCTCAGTGTACACAACTGTCAAATTTGATAGATCGAATTTGGTTTAAGTACATTTTTTTATACTACCCAATATTTTATTATGCCACTAAATAATTTCCCTAAATATACTTTTAAAGATCCTTTAGTAGATAATTATATAGATATGCCACCACTTATTTAAAAGATTATGGGACCACAGAATGTATATTGGTATTACCCACACCTAACCTTAAAATATTTTTAAAATTTTGAAATACTTTTATAAGTTAAACAGTGTTAACTACTATAATTTAAAATAGTTAATATGAGGGGAGGGTACAGCTCAGAGGTAGAGTGTGTGTTTAGCATGCTCAAGGTCCCGGGTTTAATCCCTAGTACCTTCATTAAAAAAATAAGTAAATAAATAAACCTAATTACCACCCTAAATAAAAATAAATAAAATAGTTAATATGGAAAGTTTCAACTCTTATTAGGAAATTTAGCATGAGATTATATCACTGACTGCAAAACAGCATATTAATCGTCAAGAAGAGGCTGATTCATTAGTCAATAAGAGGAGGTGATTAAAATTTTATATATACTTAAATCACATGATATTTTCAGTTGACTAATCAAACCAGACATATCTGAAGCTATACGCAATTTAGAAGGCCCAATTAACAAAAGGACTGAAGGAAGCTATCTAGAGTAAAAGGGGCTATTTTAGATATGGGAGCTCTAAACTAACGTATGCTAAAAAGGGATGAATATGTGAATTATATTTCATAAGCTTGCATATTGAATCTATATTGTGATAAGGAATAGCTCAATTACTCATATTACCTTGTTTCCCAAGTATGTGCCCTCACTTGAAAAGAAGATTGTAAATTCTTTGGAGTAGATATCATTCCATAGAATTTCTCTCGAAACCCTCTCCTCTCCAAATGCCCACATCTGGGCACACAGCCGGACGTATGATCACATGAGATATAATCATTAAGTACCAATACAAACCTGCTGGCTCAAACAGCCCATCTCTGGATTTCCTAGCACCCTCAAATCTATGTATGGTCTTTATAATCTGAACCTATCAAAAAAGTATCTAATTGAGTTGCTTGGAAGTTTACTAATATATATTAATGCGCAACACTAAATAGAAAATAGTAACTGTCATCAAGCATTAACTTCTCAGAATCCTTCAATCATCACATTAAATTCAAGCATCATAAGAGTTGAAGCTGGAAGTAAGATTATTAAAGACACCATTCACAAGTTTCAATACTGATTTCTATCAATATGTGGAGATGGTGTAGGGCGTTCCTTCACAGAAGGTATTCGAGAAGAGCAGATTTGGGGTGGGGGTTCTTTCTTCTTTCTTTTTACCTCATTTCCATCTTCATCAATTATTGAGATGTAGTTGGGATAAGTCTTATTTGGATAGGACAACAGGACATCATAATGGGATAGCTCAACAGAATCCAGGCCAAATTCTTTCCACTGAGATTGAATTTGCTTGGCAAGCTGAAAGTTTTGTTCTGTTCCAGCTAAATGTGGTATCCGTGTAAAATTACTGTCAAACAAAAATTCAAAGTGGTTAAAAATTGTTTAGTCAGCCTTTATCCCAAATCAACCACCAAATAAAGCAGATTTATATGAAAACATACCTTGAAATGTGACACATCAAAAAAGCAAAGTGGTACTATTATTGCATCAAATAGACTTTCATGTGTGTTTTGAAATTTTCATGCTCTAATTTGTACTCATTCAAGATACACTGATCTTTGTAGATAATTGTTATGTGCAATACTGTAGATGTATCCTCATATAATAGATGAGGACAGTGTCACATTCTTTCCTTAAGACCCTGGCATCTTGGAACTTTCATGGAATCATCTGTTTACTTCACCTTGTGAAATATAATTGGAAGATAAACAATATTTTCATTCAAAGATCAAGCTCTTACATGCCAAGAACTACTGATAATTACATTTATTTTTAAATACTGAAAGTTACAGCCAAGTGAGAGAACTTTAGATTAGCAACCATTTATAAAGTGTCTTTATTAAGGAGTAATCTGATCATATTTACACAAGCTCAAACTGAATCTCTTTTACTCTATTCACCATGCAAAATCATACGCTTAAAGTCAATGACGAGAAACAGTCCAACCAGCAATGTCTTTAACAAATAGACTGTGGCCAAAGTTTTAGCTACCACAGATATTTTCACGAATAGACTAATTTCTCATTTAATATGCCTACATAGTGGTGCTATTGTTTATTTGCCTTATATTTCTCTGTCTTGGAAATTTGCTGTTTCCCTGAAGATTCAGTTCATTGATATTTTCAACTTAAATCCCTTCAAGGAAAAAAAAAATCTCATTTGAAAAAGCATCATGTATCACGAAAAGACATTTCTTTCTTTCTAGCTCAGGGACTTCTTGAACTTCATGAATTTCTGGTTCTAAATATGTAGGGTTTTCTGAAGTCAACACACTTCCATCCTTGTGATGATTGAAAAAAAAACTAATAGACAACATGATGATGATCCCTATTTCTAATCTTTGATTCTACTGTGTATCTTTTAAAAGGTGGGGGTGGGGGGCGAGATTCCTATGATTGATTTTATAATTATATCAAAATCATTTAAATTGTATTTACGAAAGTAGTATTTAAAAATCCTCATTCAGTAAAATTTTAGGGGCTTAACACCTCACATAGGATTTCTAACGTATATTTGCAAAGGAAAGTAATGAAGAGAACACAACGTTAAGAGGCAGCTCAGGAGTCTATGTGCCCCTTCATCAATGGATACCCACAAAGGCAACAGAAAACAGCCAACAGGTTGCTCTTTTCTTCCATATTACACAAATCCTAACTGTGACATAACTAAAGGAGATGTAGATTATGCATGTTTCCTGACATGATAGCTATTCCTCTGCTCTTAGATGAAAGTAGACTCGTTATGGGAGACTTAAACCTACACACGCACACACACACAGATCATTTTCAGACTTTGTTATTATTGAAACCGAGTCTCCCTAAAACCGAGTTCCTCTGCCAAGTTTATGATTATCTTCTCTATCCAAAGCTTTATTCCCTTTCTTGTCCCATCTCTGTTCCCCTCAGGATTAATGAGCATCGAAGAATAAGGGGGACTGCAACTAAGCAGGACCCTGCGGGGCCCTCCTGGGTACAAAAGCCTCTCAGTGTCCCCCGCTTCTTGTTTGTAGAAAAAGGTTTTAGTCTCCTAGGCTTTCCCCGAGTGCTGAAGAGCAGACTCGAAGTTACTAACTAGGGAGGTGAGAGAATGTGGAAACAAAGGAAACGCAGTCAAGCAAGAAAAGTAATGATGGCTTAAGCAGTATCACAATCTGATGCATATTGTTGAGCTGTTCTGCAGAAACTAAGACCCCCCCCACCCACCCAGGTGGAGGTTGGTGACTACATGTTGACTACAAGCACACAGGCCCCAGACTAGTTGGAACCAGAAGGCTGACGATTCAGATTTTGGAAACATCACCCTGCTACCTCATCGCCAATCAATCAGAAGAAAGTCCTGCTACCCTCCCCCCAAATGTTGCCTTTAAAAACCCCACTCTGAAAGCCATCAGGGATTTCTGGTCTTCCAGCATGAGCTGTCTGTTCTCCTTGTCTGGCGCCCTGCAATAAATGCTGTCTCTACTCCTTCATTTCAACCCAGTGTCTACAGATTTGCTGCATGGCAGGCTAGCAGACCCAAGCTTGGTTAGGTAAGGTTACGAATGAAATTCCTGGTTAAAGTTTTGTCATTACCAACTAGGATATAAGTGTGCTACGATTAGGATTAGAACCTACCCATTTGGAGCAAAGTTGACCCTGAAAATGACAAACAAGAAAAAAGATCCGTTTCCAAGGATAAATAAATCAATTGGCACAAAATCCTGTAAGTAGTGTACTACAGGTTTTGCCACTAACCTGTTGTATAATCCTGGCCATGTCTTAACTTTCATTGGTACATGGAAAGAATATTACTACCTCACTAATTCACAAAGATTTAAGGCTCCATTAGATAACTAATAAACAGCAGTTCATATTTTTTTTGTTTAAGTCGATTGAGAAGTGTGCCACAAGCAATCTGTTGATTCTATTAGAATAGCAAGGTTTTTTTTAATACAAAGAATAACTTACAAATTATCCAAAATAGCCAATGACATGTATTAAAAAATAGTTTCATGTAACTCTGTCTGGTTAGAAAAGTTTAAATATGTTCCAAGTATTATACATCACATTATCTCAGTTAATAAAGGGCGCTATTGATATTCCTGTTTTGATACACTGCATCTGGTTTACAAATGATGAACAGTGCTAAGAGGAGTTAGATGACTTAAAGACAGCTGGTGAAAGGTGGAACTGGTATTCAAATGCAGATTAATAAAATTCTAAAATAACTTTGTTTTTCAGAACGGGGTGGGGGAGGAAAGCTCCTTTATTTATTTATTAATTTTCTGTTCTTTTTTGGGGGGGAGGTAATTAAGTTTGCTTATTTATTTATTTTTAGAGGAGGTACTGGGGATTGAACCCAGGACCTCATTCATGCTAAGCATGTGCTCTACCACTTGAGCTATACACTTCCCCCACCCCCACAAAGCTTTCAAAGACAGAGAAAACAGTGAACGGATTTGAGAATTTAACCAGGTGTTAACAAAATAAAAGGGAAAACAGGGTACCCCTGCACCCCAAGGGAGACTGTAAAGGTAGCCCCTACTTAGTCCTCCCAGCCGCTACTGAGAGGCAGAAGCAGTGGAAAAATCTTTAGTTGTAAAGCAAAGGTTGCAAAGGGGAACAAGATCGAGGATCTGAGGCTTTAGTAACCCCTGACCTAAGGGTGTAATTAGATCGAAAGCACTCTGATAAATAGCGAATTGAGAATCTGGAGCGTTTGGGAGCCTTCTGGAGATTCTGTAGTCCTCGGAGGGGTGACTGGAGGTTCTGTTAATCTCTCTCTTTTGTGTGTTAATGGTGAAAACCCTAGAGCTCTAAACAGAGGAGCTTAGTCAAGGCCACAGAGACAAGCAAGAAGCTGACTGCTCTGGTCCTGCTCAAGGGTCCAGAGAATGAAATAAAAGAAGGCATTCATTTTTTCTTCTTTGCTGGTTACTCCAGGTTAGGAAAGGAGGAAGGAAGCAGAGATAGCAGCTCTGTCTAGGACTGAAGAATGTATCTCAATAGACGACCTTCAGTATAGCTATTACACATAATTACAGTAAAGCATGTGCAAGAGGCAGAGGGCTTTCCACAAAACTGAAGCTCCCGGGTCTCTCATTTGAAATGGCCCTCCCATAGACTCGCTAGGTGCCCTAGGAAATTTTATTCATAGTTTTAATTCTATCATAATTAAGTAGACATATATGTTTGTACATCTATGCATATATATATTTACTTGACTGTCTTTTATATAAAATTATAGCTTGTATTTACTAAGAAATCTTTTCATCATTATCAGGGACTTCAAGCATTTTGCTTTGAAAAAGTTTGTATTCTAATCAAGCATTCAGTAAAAGTGTTTTCTTTTTTGTTGCTTTGCAAATACTTTTCAAATTTATTCATTTACCTCTTTTGCTCTACACCAGAGACAGCTGTTTCAGGAAACAGGGAGCTGGTTTTTACACAAGGTCACATATATGTTCTCTAATTTCATGCTCATCACACGAATATCATCATCCCCATTTCACAGATGTGGAAATGGGAGCTCAGGAAGGTTGAGTATTCACTGAAAGTTACTTCAATTATCAATGGGCAAAGATGGAGTTTAACGTTATGTATGTCTGACTTCAAAGTCCTAATTTATTCTTTTGACTAAAATATACCGTCTTCCTCTAAAACAGGAGTCAGCAAATTATGTTTCACTGACCAAATCCAGCTCACTTCCTCTTTTGGTACAGCCCACAAGCTAGGAATGGTTATCACATTTCAAATAGGTGAAAAAAATCAAGAAGATTAATCTTTTATGACATACCATTTATATGAAATTTAAATTTCAGTGCCAATAAATAAAGTTTTGTCAAAACTGCCACATTTAACTCATTTATGTATTTTCTATAGCTTCTTTGGTGCCATAATAGCTGATCTGAGTAGTTGTGCCAAAACCTGGCTGGCCTATAAAAGGTGGACCTTTACATAAAGTTTCCTGACTTTTGCTTTAAAACATCTATCATGATGAAGTTCAGCTGAAGAAGGTATAATCCTCTCCAGATGAAATATGATACAAGATCATCAACAAATAAAACTTCTAAAGTTCCAGTTTATGAAAATATTAGATCAAAACTTCCAAACAGAATAACAAAAATTTCCAACAAATTGTCCGTATAAACTTTCAAGTAGATGCTCACTATAAGAACTTCTTGATGTTCTCTGCTTTCAACTCATCCAAGAATGCTTTCTTCGCATTACGCTGTGGAGTAATGTTAGTAGCTTCATTGGAGGGTTTTATAAACCATCCTGTAAAATACAAACATAGGAATGAGATATGAGCTTATACACAGGTTGTATTTTTCCTTATTACTATATTTATCACATGTAAAACATGAATTATCAGTGACCTCTGGCATGAACTGAGATGTTCTGAAGTTTAATTTCTCTTGCCTTCTTCCACCGGAAAAAAAAGGTCATGCAGACAGACTTTTAATTACAAATCAATAGTAACATATTTTTAATCCTATTTCAGTAAGTATTGTTCTTAGATAAGAAATATTTTATGAAATTAGCACTAACATTAAATAGGGTTCAACTAATGGGGAAAATGAAGGCAAAGAGACCACCTTCTTTCTCCTTAAAGCTTCTATCCCTAGTGACTAATCCTCTGCTGATCCAGAATAAGCATTTAGTAAATGTGATGAATTAATTATGAGTATATTTCAAGTATATACATTATTTCGAAGAGTTGAAGGCAATACAGACTTGTAATTTGTTCTGGTTCTGAAACTAAAACAAAATGTTCTGAGATTTTGTGTTTCAGCTGAAGTAGGTTTGAGAAGTTCAACTTAAGAAAGCTACAGTGCGAACTACAGTTCACCCAGCATCTCTGCAAGACGGCAGTGCCCACAGAAGGCTGGAGGCACTGGGCGGCCAGGTCACATAAAGCCATTAGCCCTTACAGTTGGCTTCATTGCAGGGTTTATTTAGAGAAATGATTTGGGCATAAAATGGTTACCAAAATCACCCAGCCAGCTTTCAAGGAGTTTCCCAGTTATTCATCACATATAGACATACACACATGCATATATACATGCCTATTGAAATAAATGGTTGGCAGAAATATAGGTCCACCAGTATGGAAAACAAAGGGAAATGGATTTCCCTGCAGGATCAGGGAAGGGCACAGTGAGGATGAAATGCTTGAATTGAGATCTGAAAAATGAACAGGATAAAGAGGGAGGGAGGCCTGTGGGGGGGGGGGTGAGCACAGAATCCTAGGAAAAAATTAACTAACATTAATAAAGAACTGATTCTGTGTAAACCATTGAACACTGATGCAAGGATGGTACTGAGGGCAATACTGGGGAGAACAGAATGCCTGTAAGAGACGCAGAAGATGTTAATCCCCATACCAGTCTTGCCAAGTCTGTTTCTGTGTTTGCAGTTGAGAAAATTAACTCAGGTTGAAGTGTGTCCTTACTGAGAGCACTTTCCTCATTTAAGTCCCACAACAACCCTAACATCCACACGTTAGTTGTGAGAGAAGTGTGGCTCAAAAGTCTTTAAATGACCCCAAGGTCACGCAGCAAGCAAAAAGAGACTGACTCTGTGCCAGCCTAGCTGGTCTATGCCCTGGCCTTCTAAACTCTAGAAAGCGGACCCAGAATTGGGAGTAGGGGCAAACTATCTGGCAATACCTTAGGCTAGTCCGGCACATTAATGTTCAACTAGAAGCATCTCCTCATCAGAAAAGAATAAAGAAAAGGGCCAATACCGCAAGACTGTGCCGGGAGCTTTAGCTATTTCATGTACAAAAAGTTACAAATACTCTTCTTATCATAAAGATAGACAAACTGAGGCTAAGAGACTCGGTAACTTGTTCAAGGCCACGAAGAAGTTGCAGAGTCAAAACTCGAATTTAAAAGTCTCAGCTTGTCTGTGGTGCCCCTCTGGTTACCTTGCAGAGTTGGGTTGAGTCTGCAAATCAGTACACGGGGAAAACGCGAAAGAACTGCTGGTAAAGACCTGTTCCGAGCACTGACAACAGTGTCAGCCAGTTACAATGTCCCTCTATTATGCATGTACTCCCAAGAAGACAAAGCGAGCGAAAAGGTCTCTCATGCAGCAGTGCCCTGAGTCCTACCTGCTGTACATAAGAAGCAGCTCCAGGCAGAAGCGCAAGACCACAGACCCCAAACAGGTAAGGGTCGTTTCCTGCAAAACTCCCTGGACCACCTGGCAAACGCCCCAGAGATCGGCCGCTTCTCCTGAAGCGTAACCAATTTCCGCAGGGCTCCAGCAGGTGGAACTTTCTGGAGTGCAGTTTCAGGGTCTCTCCGTCCTACTCCTTACCCTGGGTGACTGCCCTCCAGGAGCGTGTCCAGAAACCAGCCGTGCACTGCCCCCAGCAACTCCCACCTACCTCGGGGCGCTCGTCCCCACCTGTTCCCCCGACCCAGTCATCGCTGACCCCGGGAGCCCAGCGGCGCGACCCCCCCTCCCGCCGGCAGCCCGCCCGGGAGTCCCGCGTTTTTCGGAGCCGCGGGGTCGGCTCCGGGCCGTGCGTGGCGAGGGTCCCCCTACCGAAGACGAAGCCGAGGACGAAGAGGCCGGCCGCCAGCAGCAGCGCCCCGGCGCACAGCCAGCGCGGCCGGCGCCAGGCGACCGAGGTGGCGCTGGTTTCGTGCAGGGGATTCCACATCCCGGCGCGCGGTCGGCGGAGCCCGCAGGGACCGTGCGTCGGCGGCGGCCCCACTGCGGCCTCGCGGGCGCGGGGCAAAGGCTCCCTCCCGCTGGGGCCCGCGCTTATCGGTTGAGCACGCCCCAGTCCACTCCCGGCCCCGGGCTCCGCTTTCTCCGCCCAGAAAGTTTCGCTTCTTCACTCCGGCCCAGTCCCGGCGCCGGGAGGCGGCGTCCGCGGCCGGAAGAAAGCCCCGCCCCTTTGGAGAGGCGCTTAGAAACTCTGCAGCCTGCAGCTCTCCAGCCCTTACTCAGGAATGAACGGAGAAGGAGGAAGAAAGGAAGGGAAGAAGGGGGTGGGGGCGGAGCAAGAAGTTCTTTTTCCCTTAGCGGACCACAATCTGATTCACACAAAGAAAAGTTTCTCACTTAACCCAACAGAATGTTCCTCTTATCTGTCTAGGAAAGCACATACCCTAAGCCAGTTGGTAGGCTAGACTAAATTATGTCTCAATAACTTTTTTCAGATCTGAAATCCTAGTAGATATTTTATAGCCCTGTAATGAGTAAAGTCAAGTGAAAAACGGGAGTGTCCGGTTCTGGCGCTGTTTGGGGCTAGTCAGAGAGGAGATGGGGCTCAGTGTGGCTTTCCACTGTGCTTTCTACCAGGGAAGACCATTGATATTATATGATATGATAAACTATTAGGTACAAGCTACTATATATAAAATAGGTAAACAAGGTCCTACTATTTAGCCCAGGGAACTATATTGAATCTTTTGTAATAACCTATAATGAAAAACAATATATATATATATATATAACTGAATCACTATGCTATACACCAGAAACTAGCACAACATTGTAAATTATACTTTAATTTGTAAAGTTTCAGCAATAAAAAGTTTGTAAAAAGTTTCAGCAATAGACCCACCCCACACCCCACCAAAAAAAGAAAAACTATTAGGGAATTATCCCCTTCTTTACATAACATAACCATTTTTAAAGAAATAATATGGGCACTTGCTGAAGGCAGAACTTGTTTTTTCTTTCTTTCTTCCTTTCTTTCTTCCTTTCTTTCTTTCTAAGATAGTGGTTCCCAGCTTTTTCAAATATGAAGCATTTTTAACCAATCCATTTTTAAATTTTTAAATTGTTGACATTATAGAACTAAACTGAAATTTAACATTCCACTCTTACATTTTTTTATCAACAACCAGAAATAAAATCCATGAGCCAAAAATCCAAAACAAAACTAAAAACAGGGAAAAGCTTATAAAACTAAATATGGATCCCAGCATTAACAGCTGAATAGAGAATGTGATTTTTAAATTCTCAGCAGATGACAAAGTTGTGTAGAAACTGAACACTTACAAATTATTTAAAACCTGGAATCACTGACCAGAAATTACACAGTTAGATCATGGGAAAACAGCAGAAAGGGGTAATGAGTGAACCTACCCTGTTCTAGCCGCGCCCCCTGCCCTTCTCAGAGGAAAGCCTGGCATTGATTAGATAGTGGGCCAGACTAATGCTGGCAGCAGAACCAATGTGTCTGTTTTCATATTCCAGCTGCACTTGGGACTCTCACATTGTAGGTATGAAATCAGTCTTTGTTGAATTAACCCGAAGAATCAGTCATACATAATTCTACCCCTATTATAAATTCTTAAAAAATTACAACATGGTATCTAAAGGGGGACAATGACCACATACTTTATAAAAACATCAATGTTCTTATAATCCGTGAGGGAGACTGCATGCGTGGACTGTAGGTAGGAGTGCTTTACGGAAGCACTGTATATAACAGAACCATGAAGTACCAGCAGATTCTGGACCACGGGAGATGAGAAGAAACTTTGAGTCTGGGAGCCAGAAGGGTAGTCAAGGACTGGTAGTTTCCTTTTGCAAAGGGAGAGGACAGAGAGAGATTAAGGAGAGACAGGGCTAGATCGTAGAGAGTCTTGGGTACTTTGAATAAAGAATTTCTGAGCTAAATGAAGAGACGTGGGAAAGTTAAAATGTCAGCAATGAGCCATGACAGCTACTCGACGACCTCAATCAGGAGAGGAGGAAATTTCTTAATCTCTTTCTAACGATGTCCTATATTTATTAAATGTCTCCTGATGTTCCTACGGTCAGATCTAACCAGGGATGGCAGATGAGTAATACTTACTGAGCACTTATTCTAAATGAGGCACTTTATGTACAATAACTCATTTAATCATCACTGGTGCTTCGTGGTTGATGTTATCACCCTTGGCGTTTTACATGTTAGAAAACTGAAATTTAAAGAGATGAAGTAAATCCCCGCAAGTCACTGAGCTAAGACATAATCCAGTGTCTGCCTTACTCTAAACCACTGTACTGAGCATGGGCTAAATTTGCTAAGAGCTTTGCTTGTCTTTGGAGAACCACTGGGCTTGGAGTCAGAGGACTTGGAGTTTAGCTTAGGATCTGGTCCTGTCTCAGATGTGTACCCTAGAGAGTCACATACTCAATTTGCTTGAATATATCTTCTCACTTGTAAAAATAGGACCATCTAATACCATTATTAAGTACCCTCTGTTAATAAAGATGTTCTGAAGATCAGATGTGACTATAAATGAGGTAAATTAAACTTCTAAAATATAAGAAGAGCTTTTTGAACAATATTAGGACTGCCTAACAATTTAATTAATATCCTTTATGGTGAAATGGGTTGCATTTGAAGAAATCAGAGAACAAATGAATATTTGTCAGATCTTATAGAAGGAATTCCTTCTCCCCTCGTGAAGCTTACAGTTTAGTGGGAAAGACATATCTTTTATGAGTAATAAATGACTAATATGAACACATTCTGCATGATAGGCACTTACTATATGCTTTACAGGAATTATTTCATTTAATTATGAGGATTTCACCCAAAAGAATTTGGAATCTCTAATAAGTGGTTATACAAGCCAGGCTAGATTTTATTTTGATATCATTTTCATTATCATTTCCCTTTTACAGCTGAAGAAACTAAGCTTTAGTGATGGTGATTAACTTCTCCCCCACCAAAAAAAACCAAAAAACTGGCCCATGTTTGCTTTGATAAGCATTAGATCACACTGTACTTCCTTGTTTGATTATTGAGGAAAAATTGTCGATGACTTTTCATATAAGGACTGTAGAAGAACGCCAAACCCAGTGGGATAGCTCCTATTTCTCTCGATTATAGCATCTATCATACTGTATTTTAACTGTGTTCACTTGTATAGCTTCCCACTACTGTGATCTTTTTTGAGCTCAGGGACTTTATTTGACACATACTTGTACCCATAATTCCTGGTACAAAAAACTATTTGATAAATACACTTCCAATGAGTCAATAAACGAATGACTGAACTGAAGAACAACTCTGATGTCCAAAAGGAAAGCTATTTGCTGGTTAATTCTCTACATGTTATGTCTCCTAACGACAGTGAAACATCTGACATGCTTACACCTTGTCTGGACACCTATGTGAGATTTCGAGAACTTTGGTTTCATGCAGTTCTCTCCCTAGCCCTGACCACGTGCTTCCTTCACCCATTCATTATGACTCCTAAACTCCCAAGGAAAAGTGAATATAATATTTATTTAATAATGCTTTATTTTAAAATATCCAAAGATGCAAATGTACTCCTCTAGGTAGACATCTTATTTTCACCTTCACAGGCATCATTTTTTCTCTCTTTAGAGATCCTGCTTAAAAATATTTACGTTCTGAAGTCTTTTTGATATTCATAGACATTTGCTGCTAATATACTGATCTCAACATTTCCTTAATTTTGTGTTAGCCTTTTGTTTTTACTCTTTTTACTTTTTTCTTTTTTTTTTACTATTTTTTATTGATTCATAATCATTTTACAGTGTTGTGTCAAATTCCAGTGTTCAGCACAATTTTT